ATATTGGAATGCCGATTTGCAGTTTCATCATAAAAAAATTGTGGGAGGATCCCTGTTTGGCACTCAAAGTGTGGAACCACCACAACAGCATTCACAGACAACAACAACAACAACAACAACATTGGATAAACAGAGGGCTGAGTCAGCTAGGAAGAATGTGAGAGCTCTCAATAATCAATTCGCAAGGTGAACAATGTGTTCCAGAAAGATTGTGGCAGACTTGCTTTCAGAATAGTTTCATGCACAGCTATATGGTTTACCAATAATATGCACCCTTATTCTGATGGCTGTTTGATTTCCTTTGCCTTCCCTAATAAATTATTTTATTTTTTGATGTAAACCAGTTGGGTGCAAATGCAGCTAAAAAATCACCCTGATGAACTTTGGGAAGATGGGTTACGTGACTATCTTACTCATGCGTCAAGCATTCTTGTAAGTTATCTACTTACATGATTTTGCCTCTAACTGAAAGGTGGATCAAACGTTTGATAAGGTATTAGTTTAGCGTGAATTCGGAGGCCACGTTCTCTCAAATGCACACATGGTTTTGTGATGATTTTGGTAACTGATACCTAATTTTTCGTTGAATGTTATCTATCATTGTTATCTTTCTGTTATGGCATGATTGTCAATGTGTATTCGTAGCAGGAGGAATCAGCTACATGGGTCTTTTGGTTCTTGCATGATATAATTTTGTTTCCTTGTTTGCTCATTAGTTCTACTCCGTCTCGATTCTCTTGCAGGAGAAGTTTAGTGATGTGGTCAACTGGCTAAAAGCAAATAGTGGGAAGGGGGAGAAACTATCTTCTGAATCTCATGGTACAGAGAAGAAATTGGTGGCCGAGTTCAAGAATAACGATGTTAAGTTATTTCCTGATAAGAACTCATTTGTTACAAACATCTCAACCACGGGTGCAGCATCTGCATCGAATAGTCAGACTGGCCTCTTCTCGAACAGTCAGTCTGGATTTTTCTCCGGTAGTCAGTCTGGTTTGTTCTCGAACAGCCAGCCTGGAGTTTTCTCTAGCAGCCAATTCGGTTTAAATGCCAATAGCCAAAGCGGGTTGTTTGGCAGTGGGCAGTTTGGTTTGACCACCAGCACTCAACCTAGCCTATTTCCCAGCAGTCAATCTGGAGTTGTTTCCAATAGCCAACCTTCATTTTCATTTTCTAACAATCAATCCCTGGCCATGCCTGGAGGTATCAACTTTATTTTTTAAATCAGAATTTATTAAACTTGTGATGGATCAGCATAAACCTCTAGGATAATTTCTTATCTCAGAAACCTAATCCCCTTTACCTCGTTTGCTGTTTCTAGTCAGTCTGGTGTCCATTACTGCTAAGCGTGACGGTCTAGAGGATGCAGACGGTGGTGAGTCTAGACAAGTCTCTGTTTTCATCATGTTGGTTTTTGCTCTCATTTCAAGGATTAAGTTTGAAATGACAAGTTTAACCTATTCTGGGTCCTGATTAAGGAAGGTGTGGAAGGCATGGCATATTTAAAATTGTTTTTGAGAATGGTGATTGCCCATTTCATTAATTCAGATGTTTATTTTCCTTGCGTTATTCTAATGAGAACCAGCTATCTTCTGTTAGATAACTAGGAATTGGGTTGCTACTCCCATGAATCCATAATTTTGGTCTATTATCTTGCTCAAAGTTCAACTTACACAATAGAAACTTTCCATGAATAATACCTGGAGTATTTCATAGTATCATCTTAAACAGAAATTGCTTTTTTGGCATAGCAGAAGACGAGCCACCTCAACCGAGCAGCCCATCTGTCAAGAAGGCTGAAGAGAAGGGTATTGTTGTGGTTCATCAAGTCAAGTGCAAGCTTTATGTCAAGGTACTCTGATATAATTTGGGCTCTTATGATACTCTTAGCTAAAAGTTGTCTGATATTACTTGTTCTGCTGGATCTTTAGTCACTTCCTCAATGTCTTCAGTTGGAATCGTCCAAATTTTCTCCTTGTTCCAGTTTCTATGCAATTTTGTCCGTTAGTGATTTATGATAAACAACCAGGATGAGGACATGACATCAATAATCACTTTTATGTATAGCAAAGACAATCCTTTTCTTATACGGTGGTAAATGAACTTAACATCACAGTTTGGTGTGTTTTACCTTGAAGAGGGAAATGGCTAATTTCCCTTTGAAGTGCTTGTTTCCCAGTCCATCTTCATCCTTGATTCCAGCATTGTTCATAACACAAAATGCTTGGAAAGGAACCCCTTCATCGTTTTTATCTAATATATCAGGATGTTCTGTTTCAGTCTTATAACTCCACTAAAATCTGTTTTGCATGTGTTTTCTGAATTTGTGCAGTCAAATGACCCAGCAGATAAAGATACATGGAAAGATAAAGGAACTGGGAATCTCTGTATTAAGTGCAAAGAGGGCGTCGACAAGGGAGCAAAAGAATCAAAACCAACGATTATTGTCAGAAATGATGTATGATTCAGTATATACTTCAACATTCACTTAGTTTTCTAAATTCTGCATTTAATTCACATCCATACCAGATATAAAAATTTACCCTTTTCACCAAACCAGGTTGGAAAACTGCTTCTGAATGCTCTACTGTATCATGGAATCAAGACGAATGCGCAGAAGAACTCCCTAGTTGCAATATTCCACACCTCAGTAAATACACATCCCCTGCTGACTATTGCTTTGCTTGTTATGTTACCATATCTCTTCTGGTGTTCCTTTTTTTTTTAAATTTCTCGGGTTTGTTTATGCAGGAGGATGATTCAAACGAGAGTGTTACTCCGAGAACATTTCTGATAAGGACAAAAACTGCTGAAGATAGAGATAAGTTAGCGATAGCGATAGAAGAATACGCCCCTTCATCATGAAACACCAGCCAGGTCAAATCTACTGTTTCATTTTTCTTCTTTGTTGCTGTGAGGGGTCTCCTGGAAATAACACGAGGCTTTGTTTAAGTCAAATAAGATTGTTGTATGGTTCAGGGAGAGGGAGAGAGAGGCCAAAGATACTTTGTAGCATAGTAGGGGAGATGTTGTGCCAATTCAGATATGAAGAAGGGCTTTCTATTTATGTTTTCTTTCAAAATCTGAATACTGAATGAAACTTGTGAGTAGGGAGACTCTGCTGTTGGTCATAAAAGGCTTACAGTGAAATTTGGCCCTATGAAATTGAACCAACCTTTACTAAGAAATCCAGTAACACTGATTGAGTGTTGTTTCCAGTCGATACAAAGCGCCTATTGAAAACTGAAGAAGCTCTCTCCGACTAAAGGCTCTTGAGGCATTTCCCCCCTATGTTTCCCTATAATTTCATATTTTTACTCCAAGAGGGTAAATATATGGGAATAAAAGCTATGCATACATCTATGGTTATCTACTTCGTACAAAGAACTGATCCTCAGCTCAGGTTTCTATCTCATGATTTGATTTACGAATAACAAAACGATCCACAATCTTAACAGAGTTGACAGGGTCTTGCTGCACTGTTGATGCACTCCATTTGCTCGGATATATTCTCTCATGGCTCATCTTCCCCGCCTGCTTCGGCTCTGAATCCCAATCTCTATCCAGCTTCCATTCCTTCGGTACCTTTACCCATTTAATCAAAACAAACAAAAAAAAGATCATGTTTTTGATCGTACCCGTGTCATAGAATTCCCTTTCTTCACTCCCGAGTCCCAACGATGAAAAATCACCGAGTAGACTCATGACCGAGTTAACTCATTGGCAAGAATGTTGCTTCCATAGCAGTGGAATGTGCTTTAGTACAGATTGGTTTCTGACCTTGTCAACTGCGAGGGTGAATACTTCAATGTCTCCATCACGTCTGATGTGGAAACGGGTGAAAGACTTGTAGTTGGCTATCCGGAGAGAGGAGAAGGCTTCATCAAAGTGAATGTGGAGCCAGTTGATGCATACGTACAAGTAACTTCCGAACACCAGCGATACCACGGGTGTTGAGAACACCCAGAAGTAGAGGAAAACGGATGCGTAATAGATTGCAGCTCCTGTCCTAGAAAGCTTCTCCATCCCGTGTTTGCAGATGTTGCTCCGTGTCACAGCCATCACCTGGTGTCATTAAAGTACACTCTCACTATCATAACATTCGTACATATAGTATGGATTGGAAGAAGGGATATATGTGATATGATATTAATCCATTACCTCAGGAACATCAAAAGCTGACATAAGATACTTGATGCAAGCTGGATACAAGCCAAACGTCCATTGCTCGATACGAGCTCTAAGACCTGTCGGGTCTGGAAAGTGCTCGCTCTCCACTGCCCGGTACCACTGGTACAAAGTATGGTACCCTTGTATAACACAAAGACAACGGTTTCAACTTTAGATCACAGAAATGAAAACACGTTATTTCAGTTTGGTGTACAATAGAATACTGACCGGAAGTTGCGAGAAGATTATGCTGAATACACATCTCTATGCCCAGTTCCAGCAGCAACATAAGAATCAAAGCTGAGATCAGGTGGGCAGAAACATGGAGAATTCCAATTACCACCCGTTTCTTCCGAGACAATTTCGAGGGAACAAATGTAATGGCGGTTATCAGCAACATAAGGACACCGGCCAATGAAACATACGATTGCTCGATGACATACACAAAGGTACTCCACACCGTGCCAAAGAAACTTCCCAAGTGACCAGAAAAGGAATCCTCACGCAAGATGTGACTTAGCTTACACTGAAAAAACATCAAGGAATGAAGATAAGGGATTCCTGTTGAACCTAAAAGATTGTTCACAGAAATAAGCATTTTTGCTATTTGCAAAACCCTAGCGGGAAAATCAATCATCTCGCATTTGTTATGCAGGCTTTAGCAGAGAAATGCTTGAACAATGTCAAATCTGAAAACTTTTATAAAGAAAAGCATTACAAGTAGAAGATAGACAATAGCGTACAGACAGACAGACAGAAAAGGAAGGAAAGAGGAACTCCAAACGATCAGAAAATTGAGTAAAAAACTCTCACCTGAGGGAACAAGGAAAATACCAAGATGAAGTATATAATGCCACCAATGAAATCAAATTGCCAGTTCTTTTTCCGAAATTTCAAAATATTCCCCAAAGCAATCTGTACAAAACAGCAGACAACCATATAACATCTGAACTTAAAACTAAACAAGTCGATCGATGAATAAAGATAAACACAACATGTACCTTGCTCGAATCATCAACGGAAGGATAGGCAGCCTTGCTTTCATAGGTAGAGCCGTAAAACTTTGAAAAATTGCGGAAGACATGCGTCGGATGCAAAAAGGCACCACCACAACCGTTAACAAGAAGATGCTGGACATGGACAGGTCTATCTGATTGAGTACAAGAATGACGCATATAGTGATGCAAATCTCCTGCCATTCTAAGTTTACACCTTTCTTTCAAGAAATCACATATCAGATGCCTCACGTTCTTCCCAGTAACATCATTCCAGTACCAATCAAGCAGCCAGTTTGGTTCGTGCGTGATAATGATCACTGCATCATTCTCCCCAACCTAACCAAAATGCAAGTGGATAAAAGTGAAACATAAGAAGAGAAGAGGCCAAACAACCCAGAGGCAATAAAATTTCCAGGCAGGACATTAAGCTAAGCATCTTCTGAGTGTAAGAAAATCACAGAGAAAAGGAAAAAAAATAAGGAAGCAGAAGTTACCTTGTCTTTCACTAATTCAGAAAAGAATTTGAACTGGTAGACATCAATATCACCATGAAGGGCTAGGTCCAAACCAAATACCCACCATCCTTTAGGCAGCTGCAGAGCAAAATAACTTTTCCTCTGGGGCATTAACCAGCCACCCAACCAACTCTTGTGACATATGTACCTCATGAAAGTATGGAGTCCGTCGAACCAGTCTACGTGAAAAATAACACTCTAGTCAGAGGCAATGTTAGTAGAAAACAAGAACATATGGAATTTTGTGTGAAAGAAATCACAAAGGGATAAATGAAGCTGAGTGTTGAGACTAACCATGGTTTCCCGGGATGAGAAAACATTGAGGGCCAGCATAATGCCTCAGATCAGATATTCCATTGGGTAACTCAGGCTTGTTGACAGCAATAGAGTCATTTTTGTACCAATGGGGAGGCTGAAGAGCATACTCAAAGGGGCAAAAGAGACGGTTTTCATAGGTGAATGATGATGGGTTGGGGTACCTGCAATAAATCATCAGTAAACATATCCATCTAGTTACATTTACAGCCTATCAACACTAGAAAACATGTGAGGAATGACGGCTAACTCATGAGCGACTTACGCAAGATCTCCCCCAATAAGCAGCAAGTTACCTCGTGGAAGAGATAAAAACCCATCACCCGACGAGACTTTAATAGAAGGCTGAGCAAGAAGTTTTGCTACGGCATATGATGAGTTTCCACCATCACCAGTATCTGCCATAAAGTCAAACCAAAGATCTTCCTTTTCGCTTAAGTGATCATATAAAAGCTCCCTCTTCTCAGCTTCAGCATGACCCTTGCTCATTGCAGCCTAAAGAAATAAAAGAGGAGGAAAAGAGGCAGCCAGAAAAAAAGGAATAATGAGATATCTTGTAAAATCAAACTGCAAAGCAAGAGAAGCAAAAATCTCGCCATGCCATAAACTATGGAAGCATGCCTGCATCATTCGCATGTCAAAGCGTCCGACAAAAACCGTCACTGATACCAGGAGGTCAAAAACAGTTTTGAACAAATCAGCTGATGTTCTGCAGTGGATAATCAACCAAGTCATAATTTCCCCTTAAGATTCTCCTTCGTCGAGGAGACAATAGTAGATAATAATAAATGCAGAAAGGAAGAAGACTAGTTTGCATTAAGCATACCCTGAATACCAAGGAACCATGTCCAAAAAATTAGGTTTCATCTGCTGCTTCTTCAGCTTCTCATGTTCATCAACGGAAAGTGGGTGTGTAAGAGCCCACCTAAACAGTATAGAAGGCATCAACGAAAAACATACCAGAAGTCAGAAAATAACCAATAATAGAAATAGAAGTCAGTTTTTTATGTAGATCCTTTTCAGTTGAAATGTTATGCTAATAAACTACTCACCCTGTTGATCTCTCCACTACATAATTAGCAATGTAAAGACCGATAAATGTTGCCCACAAAGAGTAGATAGGAGAAATTTCATCAGATGAACCAGGACAAGACCCATTGCAAGCCAACTACAGATAGGAAAGAAGGAAAGAAAAGAGTTTTAGCAAGACAGAAATTGATTGTTGATCAAATAAACAATTAAAACACATAAAAGCTGGAACCAATTTTGAAATAGCGAACCTCCCCATAAATGACCCATTTGGATAACAGTGGATAATCACTTGCAGATCCAACCGGAGCAAACCACGATGAGCAGACTTGGTCTTTCAGCTCATTCATACGAATGAATTTCGCAAGCCATGCACTGTATTTGTCTTCTCTTTTCCAGAATGGAAACCAGCTCGAGTGCCTTATTTCAAGAGGTCTGTGCCTCAAAATAGCACGGTTACCGCAATGACTGTAAAACACACAGCATGCTATGCTAAGAACCTACAAGATATAGAGACATCAAGAAAAGAATTTTAAAAAATATATATTTTTTAAAAATTAAGAGACGTTGATGTACAAGATTGGGAGTGGTGTACTTACAGCACAATTCTGAAGAATGGCTAAAATCTCTGGGCGTTTTCCAGCCACCCGAGAAACAAGACCGATATACCAGAGGCCAAGAAAAATGATATGGAAGACAAGAAGAAAGACTATGGATGATATGTATATAGTTAAAAACAAGGACAAATTCATCCTCAAATCTAAACCCATTGACTGAAAACTCGGAAGATGGTACAAGGCTGCAACTAAAATCCAAGCAATGTACCTACAGACCAAAACAAAGAAGTAAGAGGACAATTGGATTAAAAAAAGAAAGACAAAGAATGGTCAAGTTTGAAAAATGACATTATATACTAATCTGAAAAAGAAACTATTGTTTCACTTACCACCGACTGAAGTTTGAATAGCTCGGTCTGATAGTCTTCCCGATGAATGGAGATGAAAAGAAATAGAAAAAGCCGAGCAAACAAGCATACATAGACCACCACTTGAAGTTGTTGTCTAACTTTTCTACGAGAGTATGCATGTTGTCGGATGAAATAAAGAATAGGCAACCTAAAATCACAGCAATAATTGCATGGCGAGAATGCTCATGCGGATAAGGGTAAGTGTGGGTTAAAATGGTTCTGACCCTCTCCATTTTGAGGGTATCTAATAATCCAACAGGATGCTTATCAGAGCCCATGATGTTCCCTCTGGGCTTAATCCTCCGATTTCTTGATACCTTGCCAAACCTTGACAAGAAAGAGTAGTAGGTTAACGGAATAACTTCAAGATCCCAAGTTCAAGTTCAAGTTCAGCAGATGAATAATTATGCATAGAGAAATCCGCCCAAAAGGGGTGGAGGAATATATATGCTCAGCAAAATGTGATCCAATAAAGGAACAAAATTTATGAACTATGTTGATGACCATGAATCGCAAATGGTGAACAAACATCCATGATTTATTGAACTAAAAGATACCCCCTTTTCGATGGTATTTGTTCAACAAACAAGGGAAAGTATGGTTAATCAACAGTTCAACACCATTATTCCTTAACTTATAACGTTGAGATATTTACCAATGTTACCATTTAAGAACCATCAGTTCTCACAAATCACAATTCCCACTCCAAAGACAGGGATTACGACATATATATTGCGTCTATATACATATAATTCCGATTTTAATAACTATACATCATCTAGAAAATCGCAACTCTGTTTAGATCAACTACACAATCCCGGAAACGGAGTTATGTCCAGGTGAAGTGTTTAGCTAAAACAGTAAATCACGTGTAAGAGAATCCATAAACCAACAAAAGTTTGAAAGATTAAAGACAAAACCCACAATAGGAAACGCTCGATGTTATACAATCTCGAAAATGGGCAGCCTTAATTTCGTCTAGATCATCGTAAAGACAATGCTAGTAGATAGGGTAATACCTCGAAAGAAGATGGCATCATCGTAAAGAACTAACTAATTGAATGGTACATCAAAAACAGCAACATACCTTCAACTGCGAAGAACACCACCGGAAATGGGTCGAAAGTCAACTAAGAACCGTAGAATTACGGCGACGCTCGCAATCAGTGACCGATTCCCGACGAATTGCCGATCGATCGTCGAAATCAGAATTATCCCCGAAAATTCACAATGACCCTAGAAATTCTCCGCGAGATTGTTGAATTCACGGGGATAATCGATGATCCAGTGAGTCAAAGCGAAGAAGAAAACATCACGTGGCTGTGGTTTTAATGGCGCGTTTGCTGAAAAAGCAACAATTTTTTTAAGAGGGAAAAAAAACCCCAAAAAAAAAAGAGGTAAGAGGCGGTTATCAAATTGGTCACCATTTCCGTCTGAATTTTTCTTTAAATGTAAAAGAACGAGAAGAAGGGAATAAACGAATTATTCCGTTCTTGCTTCTCTTCTCTCCCATGTCCGAATCTTTTGTTCGAATTTTTGCAATTAAAATATTTTTTTAAATGCAAACAATTTCTATAATTTGCAATCAAACTCCTGTACTTTTTAAACATTTTAATTAAGTATCGCACTAGAGCTTTTTATAAATTAAGCCCCGTTTGTTTATGTTAAAAAAATTAAGCTTTTTTTATTAAAAATATTTTTTATTTAATTATACATGGATACATCAATCTCCGATTCAACTGTGTATGTATTATAACACATACGAAAATACACATAAAAAAAATAAATAAACACGTGTATTATAACATTTCGGATTTAATAACAGGGTATTCAGATTATCCAGGGAAAATTTAGATGCGTATTACAGATATATATATATATATATATATATGGATAAATTTAATTTTCAAAAAGAAAATGAACGGAGTCGGTGTATGCATTTATAACACGTGGCACTGTCTTTGTTCTGGACATTAGCCCCAATCTTGTTTGTCCCTTTCACTCATCCACCACATGTTCTCTTTCTTTTTCTTCGTGTTCATTTTTACGCAAAAATATATTTTTAGTTTTAATTTGATTTCCATTTCAGACACATACATACATACATATATATATAAATGTATATATATGTATATGTAGGTAATCTATCTGGATTTTTGAAATCAAAATAAGTTTTTTTTTAGCGTGGATAAGCATGAAAACACACCACATGTTCTATGGTTAGACACCCACCGGTTCATGCACTTTTTTTTTTGCTCGGAGTTGTTTGCTGCATCTTTTTTTTTCTGCAATTTTCATTATAGGACACATAATTAGGCAACAAAAAAAAAGTTTCTTTTTAGCTTTCCTTATTTTATTTAATTATTTAATTCTCAAAACCTACAAAAGTTTTTCTAGATCCATAATGTGGAGAGGTGGAATGCAATATAGATTTAGAGAAAAATAATAATTTATTGAAAATATAACATTTTATTATATTCTCCATCTATCCTTATAAAATATGTTTAATAATTGTTCACATACAAACCATGTCATTGGAAGTTATTGACATAACAACTTTATTGGTAAGAAAAAAAAATAACATTATTTTGTTTAGAAACACATAATGGGAACTTTTTTAGAAAGCCCGATAACACAATCTACAGTGTATACAGATGAAACTTTCACTATCACTTCCTAAATTATATATAGAGTTGTACCGACTAATTATAGCCAAATCGTATCTATTCAGATCTTAACCGAATGATCTTAAACCGAATTAGATCTCAATTAAATTAAACCGATTTGAACCGATGTTTAAATCTATCCGAATTAATCTAAATCAGATATAAACCGGTCCGATTTGATCTAAACCGATCAATCATTGACCAAACCTGGATGTCATTTATATCCACATTTCAAACACGTTGGATAAGCGCAGACTGACGGAAGAGGGCGCACTCATCAAATGCACAATCATTTTAGGCCAGCAATCAAAGCAAAAGTGCAACCAAATGATAACAACATAAATACAACAAAGGCGGTCCAATATTATTGTATCGCATGCATTTATTATTTAATTTGTTACCAAACTTTCACTTTTTTTTGTGTGGCATCTGTTACTCTATCAAGCTTCTATAATTTAACATTGAATATTGTCACGAGAACAACTAGAGTTTTGCTATATAAGCTTTAGATCATACCTACAAAGGTCGAATCAACTCAACAATATTTAAAAATAAAATTTTATGGACCTACCCTGCAACTCTTGTAATGTTGTGAGTTATTTTTTTATTGATTATATTATCAAATAATATATATATATATATATAATTTTTTATGTCTGAATTTTAAAGTTTGATGTTCAAATGGAATCTTGCATCCACGCAAATATATTTGAAGAAGTGTACTATTAATATCGGTTTGATAAGCTGGGTATCAAGATTTTACTAAAAGTTTTTTTTTTTTTGCAATATATTAAAATTTGGTTGTTTTATATTTAAATATATCATATTATGTATGGGATGTGTTTTTAGCCATCCTGCTGCCGAAGAAAAAAATTACCGAGAAAAAATTTCCACTTTCCAAGAAAATCTATGACCGCACAAAAAAAAGATGGTTTCTTTTTCACTGTCCGACAAAACGACGACCGACCCCACATGCATATCTCCATCGCTGCATCGCTTTCTCTCTCGCTCTCATATAAATGTTAATGACTCGAGAGATTCTCAGAGCCACTGTCTTTTTTACTCTGATTTTTCCTTTTTTTTTTGTGTTTCTTTCAAATTCTTGTACGATCATCCAATTTGGTGTCCTCTGCGAAAATAGGGTAAGGCAATCTACCGTATTTTCAGCGTTATTCCAATTCTGCGATCCAGAGATTTTTTCTGGGCTGCGAGAAAATAAGAAATGGGTAGAAAATTTTCCCACTTTTTTTTTTGTTTCCTTTCCATTCGCTTCTGGGCTTTTCGTGTTCAACCTTCGAGGCTCTGTTTTTTTCTCTCTCGTCTGTTTAGTTGTCTCTCGTTTCTTTCGTCAGAGGTGCGTATGTACAATAAAACCCCACATATTGCTTTATGATCTCGATGATTTTGTTCTTTTTTCTGCTGTGTTTTCGAGGGAGATTTAGCTGGTGATTTTTCGAAGAACATAGCTTCTGCGATTCGAGTTCTTCGATCCTTTTGTCATTTCTTTTTGGGCTAAACTTCCGTAATTCCTGGGTTTGAATCTGGTAATATTTTGTTTTGATTTTCTTTTCTTGTTTGTTTGCCGAGAAAAGGAGGGAAATTTATGATGATTAGGGCGTCACGCGGATTTCCAGTTCCATTGTTGCCTTTCTCTCTCTCTTGTCAAGAGTTTTTTTCTGGGTTCTGTTTGGCTGCTCGGAAAACGTCAGAAAGAGCGGAGAAAAGGAAAATCCGAGCTGGGAAATTCTCGTTTCTTTCTAAAATTCCCTCATTTTCTGGGCATCCAAACGGAAGAATATGCCATCATCATTACTTGTATCTCGTTAGGCAAATCATGAGAGCCGTTTCCTAAAAGTTCAATTTTTTAGCTGTAATCTCGAACAAAAGTTTAACTATCTTCTTTTCAATTTACTCATTTTCGAAAATTTCCCCTGTTTTTTTTCCTCCAGATTCTGGGTTCTCCGAGGATTAGGAGTGCAAGATCGAGTAAGAGGTAGGCTTATGATAACAATTATACTACTAATTTCAATATAACATGCTTTCGATTTGACTTTTCTTGTTCTTCATCTTCCTCCTCGCTGCTTGAAATCGGAGATCCATCCCGAGCAATTACGTACATGTACATATATATATATATATATACACACACTATTACACGCACACACAAATGTATATATCAATGAAATCCAAAATCTTTGACTATAGAACATGTCAAAATAAAAATGACAGATCTATTGGCAGTTTTTACAGTTCTGCAAATCCATTGATGCATATGTAGATTGGAAGCTTTTTGTGTTAACAGGTTCTGTCTCTGATTTCTCTGTGGAATTTTGTTTAGTTGCAGAAGAAGATGGTTGCCTTTGGGAAGAAGCTCAAGGAACGGCAGATTGAAGAATGGCAAGGGTATGATCAAATTCGATCTTTTTCTGAGGAAAATTTTTCGGGTTTAGTTTATGGCATTGTGTTAAAACATAGATGTTCATCTGGTCCCCTGCAGCTATTACATCAATTACAAGTTGATGAAGAAGAAAGTGAAGCAATACACTCACCAGATTGAAGTTGGATCATTGGATCGCCGCCATGTTCTTAAAGATTTCTCCAGAATGCTGGATAATCAGGTGCTGTTTCCTTCATGAATTTTCTCGTATTTTGAAGGAAAGTTTCGAACTTTTCCCGAACCTATTTCCTCAATTTCCCGAGAAAGTTTCATGTCCATGTGATATCCATACATACATGTGATGTGTTTGCCTAAATTCTTGTATATTTCTTGCCAAGAAGATAACATTCTTATATATGTGAATCTGCAACTCCTTGCTCAAGTGTTCATATAACGTGTAAATCCAGCTATGTACGTTCAGTTCTACCCTTTACCGGAAAAAAAACCCGAAACAAATAACAAAAAGATGAATCTTTGCAGCTTTGTGCTAAATTTGTTCTCCTCGGTCTGCTTTACGATGTTGAATTTGTTCTGTTCCATTTTCCGGTGGTTACAGATCGAGAAAACTGTTCTTTTCATGTTGGAGCAACAAGGCTTGCTCGCGAGTAGGTTGGAGAAACTAAGGGAATGGCACGACTCTCTTCAAGATCTACCCGACATTTGTCAGATAACCGACCTACGAGAAGCTTATAGAGCTGTTGGTCAAGATCTTCTCAAGCTTCTGTTATTCGTCGAGATGAATGCCATCGGTATACGTAAGATACTGAAGAAATTCGATAAGCGATTTGGTTATAGATTCACGGATTATTACGTGAAGACCCGAGCTAATCATCCTTACTCTCAACTGCAGCAAGTGTTCAAGCATGTGGTAAGGCTTTAGATCTCATTCACTATCATTCTCGACTTAATCATCCTCGTGTTTGAATATATCGAGAACTTTCAGGGTCTGGGAGCTGTTGTCGGGGCCATATCACGCAATCTTCACGAGCTTCAGAACAATCAAGGCAGTTACTTGTCAATTTACGATCAGACCGTTCTTCCTCTTCAGGTCTGTTCTTCCCTTAGTTTACGTCTGTATGTCTTCTCCAAATCATCATACAGATTAAGGATTCATCAAACTTATGTTTGGTTAAACAGAATCTGTTTCTGTATTGATCAAACTAATGAGATCCCCCCCTTCTAACTGTCACGATTGAAACAAAACAATCACTGGGTTCTGTATTTCTCGTTTCTATATAAGGGCACTATCGTAAATATAGTCTCGACCCTCGTGTTCTGTAGGACCCGGTGGTGGACTCGATCAAGGCGGCTGTAGACAGGCTGACGCGATCGACGAACTTCCTCAACTTCATGGCTCAACATGCACTTATCATGCAAGAAGAGTTACCAACTTCACAAGACGAGGAAGCGGACGAAGAGGGGCGATACCACTTCATGTCTCTCTTGCTGAATTTGGCCAACACTTTCCTCTATATGGTCAATACATATATCATCGTCCCGACGGCAGATGACTATTCCATGAGCCTTGGAGCCGCGGCTACGGTCTGTGGTATCGTGATCGGGTCCATGGCTGTGGCTCAGCTGTTCTCTTCGGTTTATTTCAGCGCCTGGTCCAACAAATCCTACTTCAAACCGCTCATTTTCAGTAGTATCGTCCTCTTCATCGGAAACTTGTTATACGCTTTGGCTTACGACTTCAATTCAATCGCTGTTCTCTTGATCGGTCGTCTTTTCTGCGGGTAAGTACTGTTCTGAAATGTTAACCGATCTTCCATTTCGTCGTCTTTTCCAACGGTTTTCCAACGGTTTCGATCCGATTTTTCAGGTTGGGTTCGGCGAGAGCAGTGAACCGAAGGTATATAAGCGACTGCGTGCCATTGAAGATCCGAATGCAGGCTTCTGCAGGTTTTGTCAGTGCCAGTGCTTTAGGAATGGCATGTGGACCTGCTCTTGCCGGTTTGCTTCAAATCAGATTCAAGATTTACAAGATTACCTTCAACCAGGATACGTTACCCGGTTGGGTTATGGCCGTGGCTTGGCTTATTTACTTAGTCTGGTTAGCTATCTCATTTCGGGAGCCAGCCCGTGATGATGAGGAGGAGAGTCATACTACCGAGGAGGCTAACTCCGGTATGTTAACACACTCGTGTCGGTTTTTATGCATAAATCAGTAGGATATGATGCTGAACCTGACATTAGAAGGATCTGAGAGTATGATTTGAGCATTCTTTTTTTAATCTAATCTTGGAAATGGCAGAAGCTGTTCAAAATGGGAATTTGGAGAAAGGTCTTAAACAGCCGCTTCTGATAACATCGGAGGAAACGGAACAGGAAGAAGAAGACGAGTGTGATGAAAGCGAAGAATCTCTCGAGGATTCCCGCAAACCCGCAAACTCCATCGTAGCTGCTTACAGATTACTCACTCCTTCCGTCAAGGTAAAACCCGTTTTCCTGCATTTTCATTTCAATAGAAAAGAAGGGTCATCGACTGAATGAATTTTTTTTGGCTTTTCGCTGTCTTTCAGGTTCAGCTTCTGATATACTTCATGCTTAAGTACGCGATGGAGATTCTGCTCTCCGAATCAAGTGTCGTGACCACTTACTACTTCGGATGGTCGACGAGCTCGGTTGCAGTCTTCTTGGCATGTCTTGGTCTTACAGTTCTTCCAGTTAACATCGTCGTCGGAAGCTACATAAGCAACATGTTCGAAGACCGGTAAGATCCTCAGATCTTTCTTGTCGTTGTTTCTTTAGTTTGATCCGACAGAAATCTCATGGTGTTTCTCGAGATGATGAATCTCTCTCCAGGCAAATCCTGTTGGTTTCCGAGATTATGGTCTGCCTCGGGATACTTCTCAGTTTCCATATCGTTGTCCCTTACACCGTTCCGCAGTACGTTTGCTCGGGACTCATCATGTTCGTCGCTGCGGAGGTTCTTGAAGGTAAAATACTGATACCCTGAAACTTCTAATAGCTCGTTTTAACCCGAAATCCTTCTCCGGATGCAATATTTATTGAACGATTTGGCTCCGTAAGGACCTTGAATGTAAATGCTGATACCCTAAACTTCTACTAGTCTCATTTTAACCAAAAATCCTTCCATGGATGCTAAATGTGTCAAAAGATTCAAACTTTTTGGCTCCTTAAAGTATTGTTCTAAAACTTTTCTTCAACAACTTGGATGACATTTTGTTGTTCGGTATAACATTCCAGGCGTCAATTTATCGCTGCTATCGCGGGTAATGTCCTCGAGGCTATCCCGAGGGACATACAACGGTGGTTTGCTGTCGACGGAGGCGGGAACGATAGCTCGTGTTATCGCCGACGCGACGATCACTGCCGCAGGTTACTTGGGAGAGAGTATGCTCTTGAACGCCACCCTTCTTCCTTCCCTTGTCATTTGCGTAGTTTCCATTGTTGCTACTTGCTTCACATATAACTCCCTGTATTAGTGCCTCTTTTATATATTTCGCCCCATAGAATTCCATAATTGTCAATTAGGCCCCTTTTTTTCTTTTTCTTTTTCTTTTTGCCTTCCCTTTGATCTCCTCCTCAGAAAATTTTGGTCTCCTTTGTATTTTCGTCGATGGATGGTTATAGATTTGATATTTGGATGTATGAATTAATCATATACGTTTATTTATTATATGTAGTTGTAGATTCATGAAAAAAAAATTGGTAGAGAATAAACGGAATGTGCGATATTTTGTTATTATAAATATTTTTGTTTCAAAATATATTTATAACCATATTGTTAGAAACTAGACCATCATAATAATCCGTGTTTGCGCATGTTACGAAATCCATTCATGACCATAAGTCGGTGGTTGTATATCGTTTTTTATGGATGGTTAATTAAAGACGTAATTGTTGGAATCCGAAATTACGCTTTTAATGGTATTATTTTTTATTTTGAGCCTTTTGTTTTAGATTTTGGTTTTTGGTTTTTGTATTTTTTTATTTATTTTGAAAATCCAAAAAAAGAAAATATTTTAGTTTTTTTTGTTAATTGGTCACTGGGAGAGTCGAACCCGGCTATTGGTTAACTTTTCGTTTTCACTTCAACCACCTGCTCTATCCTCTCCGGGCAGATCTTTTAGTTTTTAGTTGATTTTTTTCGTCAAAATGTTTTTCTAAATTTTTAGAAAAACTAACTTTTTAAAAATTTGATCGGTTATTTTTTTGGTTTTTGAAATTTAAAAACTCTAAAAAACCCAAGTTAAAAAGAATTCAAGTTCATGAAATAAAATTTACAAACTAAAATCTTTTATGGATGACATATATAGATATATACACACACTATATTTATGAATATTATATCACTTGGAAATTGGTTTGTCATTATAGTCTATTCAAGGGGATACCATCATCTTTCATGGAAATTAATGAAAATTTCAAATAGACAACATCTCTATATAATTCCCAACAAAATCAGTTGGCAGAAGTGGATCCACGATTTTATTAGTGACGTAATTGCATTGCCGCCCATAATTTATATAATAAAATTATGAAATTCTAGATAGAATATATACTTAGACAAACAAAGTCCAATATATTATTTAATATACACGACCTAGGGTACTACTACTACCACCATTTGCCTCGACTACAGGCAAAGTCCTTCCAATTTAATGCATCCATGCATCATGTTTCATGGACATCCTCGCCGTCATTATCATTGAAATTTCATCATATTCAACATATATATATATATACACACATAAAAATATATATAGACTTTTCGTATAATCTTTGTTTCTTTGTTTTTATTTCCTCTGAGATGCTTTGAAACTGTACGACTTATACGTACACATCCGCATGTGACTAGTCAGTCATATTGGAATTAGGTGATCATATGCATAAAAAATGAATTTTAATTTTATATACGATAAATTTAATAAAAACTAAACCAATGCCATCTATTTTACATATATTATATTGGTATTTCTGATAACTTTGTTTTTTAATTTTTGTATGTACTCACTAACTTTTTACGTACCATAAACATGTACATAAATATAAATCGATATATGTGTGCATGCATGTACGTAATGTACGCTGAATGTAAATGTAATAGAGGGAGAAAAAAGAAGACACTGACTGAGTCAACGAGCGCGTTACGCGACGAGTCAATTTACGAAAGTTGTAATGGTGGTTACTATACGTGCATGAAAAGGTCTTCCACTATCTTTCCTTTTTGTCCTTTTTTATAAAAAAAATATTTATTTATTATTATTGTTATTTCTTTGTATTTAAAAAAAAAACATTCTTTCACAATCATATCATCGTCATGACAAAATTATAAAGAGAAATGCTTTCATTAGAGTTTTGAAACTTTTTTTTTTGGAAACTAGCGTATATATGTACACACATTGATATATATATATATATGTACACACATTTAACGAGCATTAGATACTACAAAGAACTAGGTTTATAGTTCCGAATAACACATATTTATATCCAATTGAATTGGATATAAGTATCAATATGATGTTTTTTTTCTCCAAAATTAAACCAAATATTAAAGTAATTGCAAATCCCAAAATGGAAATTTTTATTATGAGTATTTTCAAAAACAGATTCTAAATTGAAATTGAATTGAACCGAAATCTGAAAAAATCAAAACAATTGTAAATCGAAACCGGAAAAAAAGTTGAAGCCATATTTTTTTTTCCAAAATCTTTAAAAAAAATTAAGCCAAAAAATAAATGAACCGAAACCTTGTCTGCAATGTAACTTCATTAGAAACAAGGTTATCAAAATTAATATATATATCTGTGTAAGTGTTTATATGTGGAAAATATTACATTGGCTAATTCTTGAATAACATAGGGTTATATTTCTCAAATCTTTTATTATATTTTATATTTTTAGTTACTTGTCTCTGTTTTTTTTTCGAATTTCCAAAATTTTTGTCAACTTCTCTTTTGGAACTGTCCGGAATGCCGAATCCATGTTCGCTTCTTTAAAAAAAAATCAAGTCAAAGTTAATTATTAAATATATGCCAAGTCAACGCAGGTCAATATTAACGTAAACCTACCATTGCATATACTTTTTTATTTTATTTTATTCGCCTTCTGTTTTTATCACTTTCAGAACTAATTCATTTTTTCTTACAAAAAAATCGAATTTGAAATTAATTTCATTTTCTTCCTAACTTAAATAAATTGTTTTTTTAAATGTGCCTTGTAATTAATCTCAGCAAACAAACACAAAAGTTTAATCAGAAAATGTCATTCGGTGTCATTTCTGTAAATGTAATTTATATCGAAATTATTTTATTTGACTTGAATACTCTCATCCGACATTTTTCCTCCATAAAACGCAGGGAGAGAGAGAGAGAGAGAGAGAGAGAGAGAGAGAGAGAGAGAGAGAGATGTATTCGGAGAGCTCGCAGGTGCGCTTCAATGGCTGCTGCTGTTCATCTCCATTTTCTTCTGCCATAGCCGAATCTCAGAAGTCTCACAATCTCGATTTCTCCATAACCACAGGAGCTTCATTTCTCGAACGAAACACCAAATTCACCGACCACGAATCTCTTCCCTCGTTTCAGACATCATTCCTCGACCTCATTACAACTTTTCCAGATTACTTGCAGACGGATCAAGCCGATCACATCCGATCCACAGAGTACAAAAACCTCTCCTCGTCTCGCCTTGTCTGCTTAAACCACATGGATCATCCTCTCTTCTCCTATTCCCAATCTCAGCAGATTTCGGAATCAGAATCAGAACCCATTTCAGGTTCTTCTTTCTTCGCCTTGTCCTGCAAGTCGGTGGGCTCGGTGTCTGAATTGCTATCGTCCGCGAGCCAACAATCTGAATTCCAGTCAGAGGAAAGAGTCATGGGTTTCATGAATATCGAAGAATCCGATTATCATATGATTCTTACCCACGACCGTTGTTCCGCTTTCAAGATTCTTGCAGAAATTTACCCTTTCAAGACAAACCCTAATCTTCTCACTGTCTACAACTACGAAGACGAAGAAGTGGAAGCCATGATCAGCATTGCAGAGAAAAAGGGCATAAAACCCGAATCAGCGGAGTTTTCATGGCCGAGTGAGGGAAATTAGAAAAACAAAAAGATTTGCTTTTTTTTTTTATAATTCTATTATTGTTTTATTAAATTCTGCAAAATAATAATTCAACCTTACATCAGTACTTTCCACTTCCAGGATCTTAATAATCCAATTATTAAAAAAAATTAAAGATAAAAAGATATTGAAATAAATATTAGGAGAGATGGGTCTTTTCGTGTTTCCGCTTCAGTCACTGATTACAGGAGCTTCGTATTCGTATTCATGGATGAGCTTAGCTCGCGAAAATGGATGGCACGTATTGCTTGACACCTCTGCTTTAGGTTCTAAAGACATGGAATCACTCGGGCTTTCTCTGTTCAACCCAGATTTCCTCATCTGTTCCTTTTCCGAGGTTTTAGGACAAGACAACCCATCTGGTTTCGGTTGTTTGTTCCTCAAGAAATCCATCTCTTCCCTTCTAACAGAACCAGAGCTCATCACCAACCCCTCGAATCTCACCTTCGTAACAGCTGAACTAGCTAGGACAGAACCGAACCCCGGGCCGTCATCATCTTTCCGCAGAGAAAACGACGGAAATACCCCCGAGTCCTGTCAGGAAGGTTCTTCTTGCTCTGAGATTGTTGAACTGGAGCTGTCGTCAACTGAACAATGTCGGCCTAAAGTTACGGATCAAACGATTGAATTCCGGGCATTGGACCACGCTGATTCGTTAGGACTAATACTGATCAGTCGTCGGGGAAAGTACCTGACAGACTGGCTGGTACGAGCTCTGATGAGTCTGCAACACCCAGGTTCTGAAACAGAGATGCCTCTTGTCAGAATCTACGGACCGAGAACAAAACAGGATAGAGGGCGATCGATTTCGTTCAATATTTTCAACTGGCAAGGCGAAAAGGTCGATCCTTTACTGGTTCAGAGGCTTGCAGAGAGGAACAAGATCATGCTAAAGTGCGCAAATCTGCAGAACATAAGAACAGGTGACAAGGGAAGAAGAGAGATGAAAGTGCTAACCCTTGGCTTTAGATTGGCTGTAGTGAGTATTAGGGTTGGATTTCTGACAAATTTCGAGGATGTTTTTAGGGTTTGGATGTTTGTTTCTAGATTCTTGGACGCAGACTTTGTGGAGAAGGAGAAGTGGAGAAACAAAGCTCTTGAGAAATACACGTGATTAAAAAAAGGTTTTCCCTTTTAGTCCCTTAGAAGTTAGAACAACATTTTTTGTTTTCAAATTTTTTTTTTATTTTGTAATCCCATATTGGACCATAATATGATTTTGCCACGTTTATTTTATGATTAATATAAATTATTTTTCACCAGGAGTGTTTTTATTCCACGTTATAATACACAGTTACTTGTAGAACACGTTTTAATATTCTATTTTTGTAATCATCGTCAAATATCCAATGAAAACAATAAACCAACATATTTTATAATTCATTTCTTCGACTACGTCATCAATTCATGTTATTTGTAACGTCATGACAAATCAAATCAGTACCATTATGCCATATGGAACATTTTAAAACACATTCTAGAAAAAACGAAACATTAAAATGTAAAAATTCTAAGTGTAAGCGTTATCAAACTCTCATCACGAAATCAGACTAAAGAATCTGAGAAACATAAAAGAAATAGGGAAATTAATAAAAAAAAAACTTTTTTTAAAAAAATTTCTCACTTCTCAGTGGCCGTTTGCGAGGGAGCCACCATTGCAGTCAGCGTCTTTCTTGCCGTAAAACCTACGGTAGAGAGAGTCGACCTCCTTCAGGTAATACGTTCCAGGGGCCAATAGATCAATCACTCCTCCCTTGTTCGTGACAAAGTCCTTTCCACCGTACCTGTGTTCCATCACCTTCATTGTTTCCACGAATCTCTCTGGCGTGAACTGCAAGGCACAACAGTTCTGTTAGACTACTGATCTTGAAACAGGAGATTTTCTCCGAAGAACAGAACATGTAAGAGAATCCATGTAATATGTGTCCGTATTCGTGTGTATTTCCTGCCAATACGCAAAACATTCTGATATGCGAGTCTTCAACTCTTTGCTCAGGTTTTCATATAATGTGTAAACAGGAGATATCCCCAAAAGGAAGAAAGAACAGAACATCAAAAGGGGCATGCTCAGTTATCTTACCTCGTGTCTCGACTTCAGTTTCTCAGCAACATCCATCACAGATGCGATGTCTGAAAGGCTGAAGGGAGGGTGGCTGCTATCGCACATGCGCAAGGAGAACATTGTCGAAGTTAGACCACTTCCGTATGAAAACATCATGACCCGCTTCCCAGCCTACAGGAACCAAGCACCAGTTATATCTCTCAAAGGACTAAGTTCAATCGGGTTTGCCTATGCAAGGTTTCAGAGATTACAAGAGAAATTTTTTACCAATTCCTTGTGTTTATTGTGAATGAGGGAAGCAAATGCAGCGTAGAGAGATGCTGTGTACATATTCCCGACTTGCTTCGGGATCAGAGTTGTTGGTTGTACCTTAGCATCATACAATGGCTTTGCGAGTAGTTGTGACACCTACAAAGAGTAAATCATGGGGAAACCTCGTATTATCGAGTTGAACTCAAAGAAAATTCATAAGCCTGAACAATTTGCAGGGAGTTATGCAGTATATGCGCCACGGGTTCTCGTGTTATCAAAACAAGAAAGATTAAGACAAACCTTTTCAAGATCACGGTTTTGGTAACTCTCGTCAAGGGACAAAGATGAGTATGGGGAGAACTTTTCTTTTACAGCCTCCTCGACAGAGCTGCAATGGAGGAAGCATGAAAGGAATGTATATAATTCAGGGCAGAACGAGGAAATAACTCGCGACTCAGAGAGTCAAGAGAAAGTAAGAACCTTGCATTTCTCAAGAAGTCATTGTATAAGAGACGGGCAAAGCTTTTCTGTACAAGCTGCAGCGGCAGAAGCAAGATGATGGTCAAAGAAAATCGAGGTAGAATAGAGCTACTCATTGTAGCAACTTTTATCTAGTAAATGACAAGTTACCTTGTTGTAAGGAGAGTGGAAAACAAAGAAATCGCCATCTAAGATTGAGAATTCTTTGCCTTCAAGTTTCTGGTACCTATATTCAGGAGAAAAAAAATCAACATACGAATTGGAAGTGAAAAAACAAACAGATCCGCTGAAGAAACTAGTTTCAGAAATAGAATGACTGACTTGTTACAGTAATGTTTATAGCAAGAGTCAAGGGCCATAAGGTAGCAAGTTTGAGAAAGCTTTCCATCAACAACCTATACACGCACACACACACAAATACTGAAAACCACTATACCACAGAAACAAAGAACAGAAGGAAGATAAAAATCCACACAAACAAGTTGGTAAAGCTTTCTTGGTGTTCTTGGTTGGTTAAAGTTGGTAAAAATCAACAAGCAAGCATACTGTTCTATGAATCTACTCTTACCGGGTATTCACTAGCAAGATTGGGCTTGTAAAAGTCATAGGCATGAGCCATATGGCTTCCCCTCAATTTGCTTTCGAAGACAATAGGAGCATCGGGACCTATCAACATAGCAATTGCGGCTGCTCCTCCAGTAGGTCTTGCTGGTCCTTCAGCGTAAACCTGATTGCAGAAAATGTTAAGCAAGGAAGTAAATTCGCACACTTTAGGCATAAGATACACAAACTTTATAACTGGCTGTGGTCCAACTGAGTAAAAACATGCAAAACCGATGATTATTGTAAAGCATGAATGTGATTGCATGGATCTATGAAAAAAATAACATATTTATTGAAAGTGAAATCTCATTCGATAAACAGAAAGATCAACCGTACGGAATAGGCTTTCAAATCAAATGATGAGTTATACCGCACTATCAGTACAAACGACAAGACCATAACGTCCATCCCATGAGTTACTCTCCACCCAGTTGACGCAGTTGAACAAAGCTGCAGTTCCACCATAGCAAGCATTGGTCGAGTCAACACCTTCAACATCCGTATTTCCACATTTCTGCTTATTCACACGAGAAAACGACAAAGAAGCATCAAGATTTGAAATTTTCATGTTTTCTCCGAACTTGAGAATTCTCACCTAGCGGTCCAACAATTCAAAATTGACAAGTTCATCTGCACATAGATTTGAACCCTGAAAGTACTGGGAAAGGAATACCTCAAAGATTTGCATCAAGAATGTCTTTATGGACTTGCTCTTGTCTATTACAGTCTCACTTCCCACTTCAAGGCGTCCAATTTGACTCGGGTCGATCTTATATTTCTCAAGAAGGGAAGTCACTACATTGAAACTAAAACACCCAAAAAAGAAACCGTCAGCTTTAAATTCACATTCCCTGCATGATGCTATGTAAAAAGACAAATCACTTGAAATCCAATAGACGAAGAACCTCATGGAGATCACATCTTCGAGCTCGGTGCAAAAAGCCATGCAATCTTGTCCAAGTCCAATGGTGTATTTACCTTTGCTTGCTCCATCATGAGCTTCCAGTGCTTCCTATGTAAGAAAAGAAACTTAATCAACACGGAACAGAAGCAAGAAACCGAACAGAGCAATTTTCAACAGCTGAAAAACATTCGAAATTCCAAGAACAAATCAAGACCCCAAAAAAATAGGAAGCACTTGTAGACAATATATCAGTTCATTCAGTCTACTCATATAATTTACATACAGAAAAGCTAGAATTCAGATCAATATTGCAAAAACTTACTTGAAATGAAAAGGTAAATACACATACAGATTTAACCAAACTGTAAGTCTTCTTCTTACAGCTAGAAGATGGTCTTACAGATCCATGGCAGCCAGATCATGTCATTAAGAATCAACGAATAGTAAATGATTCAACGAAATGGCAGCTTTAGAACTCTGTTGGAAAAAAAGTTGAAAATCATATCTAAATCCCAATTGGAACCAATGAATCAAAAGGGTAATCATTTTATCAACCCATTTCAAGTTTCGCCATCATATCTCGGCCCCAGAGATCTCATTACGAGAAATCTAATTTTCTTTGTTACTACATTGCATCAACCTCATCTTGTGATTCCATATCATGATCAGAACCCTAATCTCCAACCCAAAAAAAACACAGAAAATGGAAGAAAAAAAATTCCAAAGTTCATGCCCATCTTAATCGTCCTACACTAAAATTCATGCGTATCAAAACCCAGAAACAAAAAATACTACTACATGTTTGTGTACAACTTCCCTAAACTATGAAAGTTTTCCTAGATATGTTCCCGGAAATTTTTTCCCAGAAAATGTCAGCCATGGAGATTAACGAATCAGACGTCAAGTAACAAAGGGGCAAAAAAGCTGCGTCCGAAACGCAAAAGCTCCAACGACGAAACAGAGCATCCAAAATGCCCCAAACGCAAATTCCATCAAAACGCAGAAGCAAGAGGGAGTGGGGAAGATCTATGGCGTTTACCTGTTGAATGCAGGTCGGAGGGAAATAGATGTCCATAGCCAAAATTCCTACGCTCTTCGCCATTGCCGGAGACAAAAGGAAGAATCTTCCCCAAAAAATTGTTGACCGAAAAAAAAAAAGATTCAAAGTTCGATCGAGAGAGAGAGAACCCAGAAATTTTCTGAAGTTGTGAAGAAATGAAATCTCGGATCACAGCTCAAAAACAGAACCCGATTTGTAAGAGGGAAATTAGAAAAACAAAAAGATTTGCTTTTTTTTTTTATAATTCTATTATTGTTTTATTAAATTCTGCAAAATAATAATTCAACCTTACATCAGTACTTTCCACTTCCAGGATCTTAATAATCCAATTATTAAAAAAAATTAAAGATAAAAAGATATTGAAATAAATATTAGGAACATCAATCTCATATTATTTTGCGGAGAAAAATTCAATGATACGAAAAAAGTGTATAATAATAATAATAATATATAGTTTATCATATTTATATTTTCTTATATATAATTTATATATATGTATACGATTGTGTGCGTTGTTGCGTGACAGATAATCGGAGGGGCAGAGTGTCCTCCGGACTCTGGACAATGCGGACTTTGTGAAAATGAGCTCTTATTATTTGTCCACACGATTCTCACACTCTTACTTCTTTACCCCTGCAAATCCCGCTTATTTACTAATTTACCATCGCCCTTCGTTTAATTTCCAGAATTATTTATATATAATACGGAAACATGGGGATTTCATGAGTTTTTTGTTTTATATGAGGACATTTGTCGATTTTCCTGAACTTAGGAATCTCCGCCACCATCCGATCAAGATCTATCAACTCCTCACCGTCCGATTGTTTGACTAAATCCAGTCAACGTTATTTGAAGAGAGGTACATGAGATGAGCCTGGGAGATACGATACCTCACCGACCGGTGAGATGAGTCAAATTTTGGCTGGCGTATGATATTGGGACCCATTCGTGAGAGCACGTGTTCCTTTTTCATTTGTTCTTCACTAATTAAAAAAAGTATGTCATATATAATTATATATAATACAAGGTTCTAAACTTTGCTCCAAGCATGGTGGTGACCCATTATGCATCTCATTTCAATTTTTACGACTGTTTTGCTTTTAAATGAAAACCTTCCACCTGCTTTATTAATTTTCATTAAAGGCACTTAACTTCTTTCGTATATAGTAATTAATAGAAAGGATTTGACAGATTAAAAACGGTTACAAATAATTAATTACACAGATAAAAACATCGAAAATATCAAAAGAAACCAAAAACATGTTTCTGAACTATAATAGACAAAGCTCTAATTGGGCCGAACGCAAACAGGCCCAAAAAGGACCGAAGAACATGTACATGGTCATGGACAACTAAAAAAAGAATCTCACCAGCTTGGGGAACCAGATCAGATGGTGAGGTTTTCTTGGACAGCAAGAAACGATCCCAAGATCTTCCCGCCGACATCTGGGAATGTCTCACAGCCAGGAAGAGGCCTGACTTTGCCGGTTCTGTCGACCTGAACCGGATATTTCAGGAGATGACCTTTCATCTCTGTCACCTCTTCCGCAGCGAATTGCCTCCAGTTGAACTCACTCATTTGCCGCACCCTTCTCACGCACTCCAAGCTCTCTGCCTGCTCAAAACCCTGCTCCAGAAACCCTAGATGCTCCGCCCACAACGACATTCTGTATCCATAGATCTGCAAAAAGATCCGGAATTTGCAGAAAAACCAGTTTATGTTCGGTCAGGACATGGAGTGGTTGGTTCAGGTAGGGTTCTGTGCATTCTGCATTTACCAACTGAAAATCAAGCAAAACCCGCTTCTCGGATCCGAGGTTTATAATGAGGCTAGCTTTTAAAGGTGTTCGAGACCGAGGATTTACCTGGCCACGAGGACGAGAACCTTTCATTGCCCATGTATGGTGTGGTTGGTACCCTCCCATTGCTATTTCGGTGTCTCTAGTTCCTTCCAAGGATCTCTGGTTTATATTTGCCGAGCCTATTATGACATACTCATCATCCACTATCATTCCTTTGGAATGTACATATATCATGAATCTCCTGCTCTTCAAAGCTTGCACCTGCATTCCAAAGTATCTCAAAATGAGGCCATAAAGTGAAGCAAGAAATTCGGCTTATATGATGGAAATATACATGTAGATATACCTGAACAGGGTTTGCCTGATTTTGATTCCGAGGATTATATACAGCAACAGTCCCTTCAGGCACCTCTCTTGTTCCAAGACAGAAGAAGTTCAAAAAGTCTTGTGGCTCGTACTGCCCATCGAGACCAACCTCCACAAGAGCCTTGTAGATGGTTTCGTACATCATTTGCATGGTTTTATGCTGCAAATATTTAGAACCAAACCCTTGAGATTAGAAGACAAGAACCATGTAAATCTTTTCTCTAAACTATGGTTATCCAATCACATGGAAGAACTATCATCATGCCTTCCATCAGGAATGTCCAAGAAACTGTCAGATGGGAGCTCCAATGATGAATTTCGAATAAGAAAGAGGACCTTTTACCTGCCAAAAGAGAATTCTCTGAATAGGGTTACTTGTTGGAGCACCTTCTGGCCACATTGGAATAACTATGTACACAGAAAACCTCTCCCTCGCTCTGATTTTATTCGCTATCTTGAGTGCAATTTCCATCGGGATTAGATTATTCGCACCTGCAGGCCAGAACCCGTTCCTTTGTATTACGCACAACGATAAGCATTATTGTGCAGCTCGCCCTTCAAAGGTTTTACCGTTCCTTACCCAAATCTTTGTTTGAATCCCAGTTGAATGATGACCCGAGAAAATACTGGTTCTCAATGTAGATGAAGTGTTGAGCAGATCGTATGGCCTTAACATAAGCAGCATGTATGCTCATGTCTATGAGTATGTTCTTCCCACATAGGAGGTTCTGTTCCACAAAAATGCACATATACAGTTAATTCAGTTAATCTACTAAGTATCGACATGAAGATGACAGTTAAACGGTTACACTTTTCTGCTTACTCTGCCTGTAGCTTCTCTGGGATCCTTTGGAAACCCTTTGACAGAGCTTGAATCAATTGAACGGAAAACCTAAATAAAAAGTATGATCCTTTTTATCACTACACATTAAAAAAAAAAATTGCCATTCCATATGAATGTCACCACATCTTAATGATGGTAAGTGATGGCTGCATTACCTGGACATGCCATGACTCTGGATCATTATCATTAGCAGAAGAAATTTCGGATATCCCCATAATGTCGGGAATTCTTTCTATCCTCAGCAACGAATCATCACGCGATGTCTTTAGCTTCCCAAGTCCTCGTGGTTTCGAGGCTTTTAGCCAACGCTCTTCAAAGTTTGCAAGAACATCATAGGCAGCAGGACCATCAATTCGAGAATGCAGATCATGCCATGGTTCCCTTGGTCCATCATCCGCAGTAGTCTAAACCCGGCCAGAAATTTTGAAATGTAACAATGAAGATCTGAGATTTTACGTTTAAACAAGCAGAAACAGCTAATCCAATTCAAATTCTAAACGAACAGTTTCCCGGGAATGGAATGGTTACCACAAAATTCGGGTTATGGAAGTCATCTTTATGCAATGTCCTTAAGGTCCTAAACAGAGGATGCTTGGGGGTATCATATCGTCCATTGCACAAATCGAGCCCCCCAACAAAAGCTATGATCTTTCTTCTGTTCTGACCTGCATCAGCATCTACAATCACGGTCTTTTGATGATGTGTGTAGATTGTTCCAACTTCCTGGAAATCATAATGACGCCCATAAGTTCATAATGATAAGGTTTCAATGGAGTGTAGGCATTAATCAATCCAGTGACTGATTGATGATCATCTTACAGATTTTTTTATAAAGCTGTGGCCTTTCCCACCAGATCTAGGACATAAAAGAACTTGCACCGAAGAATGCTTGAAAAACCGACGAGTCTCCTCATCGCTCGTGCCCATCACTCCTTGCTGCATATATATAATAAACACTAGCTTTACTAAAACGAAAAATCACTGCTGCTTCTGTCAGTCCAGAAATATGAAATCTTCAGGATCTAAAACAGAGACAGTGGCGAACAGAAGTATAAAGAAAGCGAACGATGTCAATCTATCAAAGACAGCTTATCTATAGGAGGAAGATGCATAAACGAAGAGGCATTTCCATGAAGCTATTTGTCAGAGGTAAACAACCAATGCATATGAAATCCCAAAACTACAGCTTTGTAAACCATTCTGGAAATTGAATGACAGATTCTGCAATATGCATTGAGGAGAGTCCCGAAATCTATACGGGCAGAGCGTATAAGAAGAGAAACTGAAACTGTTAGCTTCCTTCTTACCGTTTTGATGCCCAAAATGCTCCTAGAGGTTGGATCATCCCACACAAGAAGCAACACTCTCACACCTTCTTGTGACTTAGATTTAAGCAATTCACCCAATATACCATCAGTTGGATCATTATTCCGTCGAACCAGCCTAACCGGATGGTAAACAGACCAACCCGTGATATAAACCAGCCTCCGAGCCTGACTTATGGCACTGGCCACATCCTCCCAGCATCTGCCATGTCTATACTGAATTCCACCATCAAGGTTTAAGTTAGGCAGCATACAGTCATCATCAACATGAGCATCCTGATACAGAGTTACCCTACCGCCTTTCCTTAGCGGAAAATATGTACCAGGAACTCCTGCATAGTCAGGACCAGAACCTACTCCCATTTTGTAAAGGCTCATTCTCTCCATTGGTGTGAATTGAATGGACAAATTCAACACAGCACCTGGTTTACAAGGTTTCCCACTACTGTTAAGAATGGGGAAGAACCCTTCAACCTTGTTTCCCGACCAGAGCTGCTCAGCTGGAATTCCGACAGCTCCAATGATCTGGGAGCCGAAAATGTCATTGTCTTTCACTACAAAGTGGACTTCGGCGGCATTATGAGCAACAGGGACATCAAAATGCTGCATCCAGACAGGGCTTTCGCTGTTATTGATCACGAATGTTCTGGCAATCACAGCACCACAGACAGAGACCGTAACGTATGGGTCGCTGGTGATCTTAGAGGGCTTTTGTCCTTCGGCTTTGTTGGCGGATTTCTTGCTAAACCCAGAAAACATCTCGCCGAGCTTGTTGTGGAACATATCCATGTTAGGGAGGTTTCTCGCCTCCTTAACCCAGATGTCTAAGTTTCCATGTAACAACAAAACCCTCATCGACCCGTTATTCGTCGAGAACGGCACAGATTGTTGGCCCTGACCATGGCTTGATCCTCCAAACGACATGGTTTCCGTATAAACCGGATGATACGCCATTGAGATACGAAACAAACCAGCCGACAAGCACGAGACTTGAAGCCAGTCAGATCAATTTCTCGATCGATTGAGCAAAACCCACAAAATGAAACAAAAAAAGGGTACTTGGAGACGAAACCCAGATCGAACCTATGAACACGGAAGCCGGACAAAGAGGGATTTGGGATCTGAATGTGGGGAGGGTGGGATAGAATAAAAACGAAGGGGAGTTCACGTGGGGAGGAAAGTGGGAGGTAATGAAGGTAGGGTTGACTTGGATCACAAGAATGGATAGACTGACTGAGGAATTGAAATCGGGGTGAGGGTTGTTGAATCGTTCCAATGCAAGACAATGAAATCCATGAGTACATTTGGCATTAAAGAATGGAAGATAATTGCAAGTTGCTTCCGAGGACCAAGCCGCCAGAGAGAGAGAGAGAGGGTTTCTCCTTGTTTCGGCTGCGAAGAAGGTGTTTCCATTTTCTCTCCATAAAGGTTACGTCTTTGGTCTCTCCTTGCTCATATTGTAAAACACATTTCGTAATCAATTTGGGCATTACTATATTTTCTTGAATTGCGTTCGAATTATTTGTTTTTTAAATCAAAAGAAATTGGACGTTTGGCATTTTTTGATCGTCGCCATGTCGGCTACTTGCATTGCAAGTTTCCTGTTCTAGCTTCTCGTTGGCTGCTTAGAAGTCACAAGCTTGTTTTTCTAGAAAGTGAAGAAAATTCAACATCCCTTTTTATGTGTTTCTTTTTTCTCCGCCTATGATTCAAACATACGATACAAAATTAGTTTTTTCCTAAATATTACGCGACGGCCAATCGTACAAGTTGTCCAGTATTCAAGACCACAATTATTAACAATATTTGTATGATGATAAAAAAAAAATGAACAAGAATTCGATTAATCAAATAAATGGGGTATTCATTGATACGAGAAGTCCCACATGCAACGCAGGTCAAGTCACTCCGTCAAAACAAACGGCGACCAGAATCACCATTTCAGATCCAGACGGCGCCATTACCAACGAAAAAACCATAAAACTCCAAAAGTACCCTTATCTCAACTACCCAGGAATCATATGACAGAACCATCCGATTATGAGCAGGAAAGGGAATTCGATGGTCACTAATACGTTTTGTTTCTATCAAGTATTTGTCGTAAAACCAGAAAAAGGAAATTTAAAAAAAAAGGATTTAGCTAAAGAGCAGAAAAAGAGAGAGAGAAAGGAGAAAGGGGAATATACAGAGGGAGAAGAGGGGTGAAACAAAAGAGTAGAAAAGGAAGAGGATTTACATGACTGTACACTTGGAGTCTTTGGATGGTTTCCCCTCCGGTTTCGCGGAAGGCCTATGGCTGCTTCTTGGTACCTGCAAAAATCCCCATGTTTCCATTTCACTTCTCTCACCATTCACCCACAATTTGTATACATTTGTTAAAAAAAAAACTGTTAAATGAACTTGGGAGTCCAGTATCAGTATTTCGTAGTTATGTATACTGGTGTTCATAAGAAATAGAAAAGATGCACGGGAATGGCAAAGGTTGTATTTTTTTTTTTTTGTGTGGAAAGATTACGATATACGGTTTGTACGTGTGTATCGTCTTATCGAGAAACAGGGTATGAAACGTGATGCATGTCGGAATTTTAATAGGAAGAAATAGTTCCGTATTCATCTACCTGTGGACCCGTGATGAGGCCTGAGGGACCAGTGCCTACTGGCTGTGCCGGCGGCGTAGTGTTACTGCGTGGGCTCTGTTGCTCAAACTCTTGCTGCTGCAAAGCTATCGCCAGTTGGAGATCGGAGCTGCAGAACAAGATCAAGATCAATGTTAGTCGATCATGAACCCATTTCAAAAGACCATCGGTATACATCCAGAAATTTGTAGCTTCACATGAGAAAAAAAAAAAAAAACAATTTCTAGTGTCGATCAGTATGAGATGGAAGGTTTAAAAAGACTGGATCATAGCAAACACAATTGGTACTATTCAATAATTGGAGATAACTGACATGGTGTGTAGTTTTCGGCAGATACTTACTTGATGTCATGGCCTGCTTCCGAAGCAGTGTTGATGCTGGCAAGATAATCCTGAAACGTGAAAACATAGGAAAAAAAAAAGGAAGGATCAAATGCGATTAAAGCAGGATTTTTCTACATGCAAAAAAAAGAACATAAAAGAAAAGAGAAGTCCGAATACTCGAGGAGAACATACAGCAGTATTGGAAACTACGTTTTGTTCGTTCCATGTGCCACTTGAGCCATTGTCCATCTTGAAGACCCTGAAGTTACCAGTCATGAACACAGTGTCACCATTAACCTGGAATCATATTTCAAGTAAAAAAGTTGTAAACATTCAATAATGCTCAAGGCGCCTAAAACACAGATTATGAGTTCGAGATTCGTGAATACCTCGTTTAGTTTTTCCCAGACCAGGTCTGGCTGATTCATATAACCTTGATCCGTAGCCAACAGATAAAGTTCACCTTCATACTGAAAAAGGAAACCAAACGACATAATTAGAACCATATGCTTAGATTTAATGCAAATGATTAGGGATTGACCGTGAAAACGCTTAATCCCAAAGACGATAAAGAGCTACAAATATATTCCCAGTTTCAAACTGACCTTGAACATGGTGCTGAAGTGGTTATTGCGGAAAAAGACGCAAAGTTCACGTTCTTTAAGGCCTTCTTGCAAGCAGAAGAGTCTGGAAGATATGATTGTCAATAAATATCGAATAGTCCAGTCTAACCAAAAAAACTAAATCTAGGAATTACTAGTATTCACATACCCACAAAAGGTTAATTGACTAGCACTGCTTTCCAAGAAACTCCTGATCAGATTCCCTAGCAAACATCAAATAGAACGAATACATATCTCAGGGAAAAAATTACGGTACTTATGTGAATTAGGAGCACAACATGTGTGTCCATGCACAAAGGAGTGGATGCGTTAGTCACCATAATTGTGCTCAACACATAATAAGAGCATTGCTCACCTTCTGCTGGAGTGAGGCCATCCACAGCCCGTCCTTCAGAACAAGGATCAGCAGCACTCTTCTCAGCTTTTCTTCCAAGAAGAGACTCACCTTCATAAACAGGCTCTTTGTCTTCGCAAACTGCAGCCACTGAGTTAACACACTCTTCACCTTCGTAAATGGGCTCACCAGTAGCTTCACCTGAGGTAAAAGCATTGGGTCCATCGTCATGCTGGGATATGTGACTAAAATCTAGAGCTGCAACAGGCAGAGACTTGAGTGAGAAAATTCAGCTCTAACATCTCTAGAAATACTCTCCACATAAGGGATAGAAAATGTAGGAGTTGATTAATTATTTGCCATTGCTGTGAGTAGAGAGATATTCGTGAGATTTCTTTCATCTAATGTTAGAAGATGTTACCTGGATTAATAGAACTACCATCCTCGGACTTGGGCAGAATCCCAGTATTGTTGGCAGTTATGGTTGGCTCAAGATTAGTCTTTTCGACAGAGAGTGTCTCAGAAGTTGCTATATCCACAGAGGTGCTTTCACTGCTCTTCTCAGTTCCACCATCACCATGTGGCCCATCTTCAGATTTCTGAGAAGATAACTGATCATGATCAGGATCTGCACTGCTTTTTGTGGCCAATGTCATTGGACATATCTCTTCCCCCACATCAGTCTTATTCCCACAATTGTCTAGTGCATTCTTGTCATCGGATTTGGACTGTCCTAGTTGATTGATATTACCATAATCGGGGCTAGCATGACCATCTACAGTGTGCTGAGAATTTAAAAGATCCTCTTCAGATATTTGATTTTCATCTGAATATGAAGACACAGATACTCCATTGCTGGAGTCTGCGTGAGCATCATGGATGGAAGCAGGCCCTTCCTTCTCTGATAATTGCAAGGCTCTCAACAACTCTGCTTCTTCTTCAAGATCCCCCTTTCTAAGTTTACGATGCTCTTCAGCTGCAGGTGGAGAATCATCAAAAGATCTGGTTTTCGAAAGACATGGTGAAGGAACCCCTAGAGCTGCTGTCGTCGCAGCAACAAAGTCAACTGAATCTTCAGCAGGCATCAAGTCAGA